CCTAAAAAAGATCAAGGTAATCAATTCTGATGGTTCGTCAAGACATCTAGCTGTTTCTGTCCATTTGAGCAACAATCTAACTACGAAGTTGCATTTTTCCCAGGAATCCAAGTATTTCAAGGATATCCCAGTTGTGATCATGTCCTCGGAGAATGTCCCTTCAAGAATCAATAGGTGAGAATGTCCTCAATTAAGATTGTTTAAAACTCTGTATACTTGAATCCTAGTCTGACCTGGGTTATTAATGATCTGTGTTGATCAGGTGCTTGGAAGAAGGAGCAGAAGAGTTCTTCTTGAAGCCAGTTCAATTATCCGATGTTAACAAACTTAGACCCCATCTAATGAAGGGAAGATGCAAGGAAGAAGATCAACCTAACAACAAAAGGAAAGGCATAGAAGAAATTGTCAACTCTCCTGGCAGAACAAGATCAAGATACAACGAGGGCTTGGAAGTGGTCTTATCCCAGTAGATTTCCCATCTCAATTTTACCTTTTTTCAATAGATTTGACAACACAGGCTCAAAGAAAATTAGATTCACTGAGAAAGATGGGAATCAAGCTATCAATTTTCCTCATGTTTAGGATTTATCCGTTATTAGTTCAATTGTAAATCACCACAGGAAACATTCATTTTTGTTCTGTTAAATCTAATCAACAATCATGGAGCTCCTCTCTCTCTCTCTCCTTTCTTTTTAAAAAAAAATTCATACTAATCAAGTCTATATTCTTTCATTGAATCAATAGGGGTACGCATGCACGTTTTGTGGAAGAAATCAATAATATTGTTTTGCCAATTTCCAAGTTCAATGATACATGTTTCCAAAGAGCAGGGTTCAATTCACTTCCAACCACTTTATTTATTTTATATGAGAAAAAATCCATTTAAAATAAGACACAAGATGATACTTCATTGACTTTTTTCCCCTTCAAATTTCTTTATCCAACTTTTAATAATGAAGATCCTGTACAATTTGTATGGGGTAAGTTGTTTCAAATTTAAATTGGTAACTGAGGTTTTGTAGAATCATAGTTAAAAAAAAATACTTTTCTAATTAAAGGGATTTTATAAATAAATAAATTTATTTCATATCTTGTAAATAAAATTTTCATTAATGTATACTATATACAAAAATAGAGGTATTCAATATCAATTTTGGTCTTGTTTGACATTGTAATCTAACTATATTTTTTTAAAAAAATTATTTTTTAATTTTTTTAATGTATTGATATTATAAATAATTTTTTTAAAATAAAAAAATATTATTTTAATATATTTTTAATAAAAAATATTTAAAAAATAATTTTTATCATATTTTTAAATAAAATTAATTTCGATTGACTTGTAAATTTTAGATCACCAAGCCATTGGGCAGCCGGATTATAGATTTTAGGCTTAATGACTTGAGACAACTTCGGCTGACTGGTAGTTTTCGGTTAGAGTCCAGCCATGTGATTTTGCTTTTTATTTCTCTTCATTAGCAAAAAATTACTATGTTCGCATTTTGTATATTTGTAATGATGTTATTAGAATTATTAAATTTGCTCAATTTATAATCTTTTGGATCTTGTTTTACATATATATAAAAAAATAAAATAAAATAATCAATATAATATAATTAGGATAAAAACACAAATTAATCCAAAACTGTGTAAGAACAAGGGGTGGGGCTTGGCACCTAAAAATAAAAAAACAAACTTAATAATATTCTCCCATGAAACCAACAAGATTTTAATCTAGAGCTAAAAACTAGTAAAATTAAAATTTTGCCCCTCAAAATAATTCTTAACTCTATTCTTGATCAAAATTCATTAATTTTATAAAAATATGTTTTTAAAATAATATTATTTTAATTTTTTATAAAAAATATTATTAAGTTGCCAACTTTATTTTTACATTTCAAAAATGTTTTTTTTTTAATTTTTTTAATTTTTTATTTATTATTTATTTTAAATTAATATGTTTTTAGTATTTTCAAATCATTTTAATATGTTGATGTTAAAAATAATTTTTTAAAATAAAAAAAATTACTAACATGTATTTTAATATACAAAATTATTTAAAAAGCAATGCAATATACTTTTAAATAAAGTTTTAAAATCATATTTTATACAAAGTTGATCTATTTGATAATTACTGATGTTATAGTGTTAACGCAATCATAATATCAAATCAATTATTTATGTTGGTGAATCCATATCTAGTTAAAAAAAATTATTTTTTTTAAAAAATATTTTTCATGTAAATATTTTCAAAAACATGTTATTTTATGTACGCTATTTCCCATCGAACTTCGTTTGAATTTTACAATATTCTCCTTTCAACAAAACGTTCATTGAACTACGCAAAATCTTCCTTTAATGATGCCCAATCTCCTCAGTTTACAACAATACGGTGCCGTAAAAATATTTTTTCCCCACTAAAAATCACGTGGTCCAAGTTCAACTAAATAAAACCCACAAAAACATTAAAAAAATATATATTATAAGCTTGAAAATATTTGATTCAAAAATACAATTTTAATCCAAGATCTTCCAGGAACCTATAACCAATTGATCACCGTCCACAAAAAAAAAAAAAAAAAAAAACATACGGGGATATCATGAGATCGTGTGGTGCAATAACCATGCTAATCTCTCGAATCAAGAAGGGCATATTTGAAGAGATTTATCATTGACAGGACCCATTTGTGTCTGCTGTCTTCGATCATGAAAACAAAATAATATTTCGGGGCCCGATGTTACTTTACCTTTGTTTCCCAGCCGAGTGGCTGTGGGTCTTCATTGATAAGGTGGCCCGGCCTAGTTTTAATTTTACCTTGGAGGCTATTTCTAAATTGAATCAGCTATATGAATTTCGATTTTTTTTTTTGAGAATTAGTTGCTGTTGATCACCTTCATATGGTTCGATTTGGATTAAAAAACTAAATCGAATATACTTTGATTAATGAATTTTTAGTTGGGTATTTTTTATATGCTTTCATAAATCAATTGACTTATTTCAAAAGTAATTGATATTTATAATCCAAGCGATGACAAACAACGTTTTCAAAAGAAATAAATAATCATGGATCTCTATCTTATAATATAATTCTTCTTATTCTTACTATGCAGTCTTTTATTTGCCATTTTAAACACTCATGAATTCTAAGTTTATTTTGATTGAGGGTGTTTTGAGATGAAGTCTTATTCTAAGAAGAAAGATTTAGTACGAATATTCTAGACAAAGAATAATGATTTAATTTTAATATATAGAATTCAAATAAAAAATATAAATACCATTAAAAAATAAAGATGTGAAAGTATAGTTGGATTTTAATAACTTGTCACTCTCATCATAAGTTTATATAGATTGATATAAACAATAAGAAAAGATAAAATAAATGTGAGAAATGTTTGTAGCTACGAAGACGAAAAATAACACTAATTTTTCTTTTACTCGAAGAAAATATGGTATTCATTTTATAGCCAAATACCAGCAGCAAAGCCAATAATAAGAAAAATATCTCTAGCGAAACCACAGGAAGACAGCACAGAACGGTGCCGTAAAGCAAGAAACAAAAAATTCCTGCATAGGCCCCACTCTCACATGGCGAAATCTCTATGGTCATAGAACTAATTAACAAAGAGTTGGAGTCAACATCGTTGACTAAAATAAGTTCAATAAATAAATAAATAAATTACCCCAAGGCACGTGCTTGAATCCCATGTGCTTCAAATTAGTAGAAGATTTTTTTTTTTTTTTAGTTTTCAAACATCATATTTTAAAATAATATATGTATTTTTATTTTAAATAAGCTCGGAGTTACCTTAATTATATTTTATTTTTAATTTGTCTCCGTCACATGACAACTATTCATGGATTACTTTTCCACTTTTAATTACTCGTAGATTACTTTAAATAGCCCCCTCAAACTTTTCTTTATTAAATTTAAAAAGTTTAATAAGAGGAACAAAAGAAATCACAGGGAATATAATATTTGTATCGTGATAGATTCTATTTTTTATTTTTTATTAGGTTAAAGGAAAGAATTACTTGATTAATTAAATACTTTATATTTTTAGTATTTAGCTTTATATATAATTATTTGTGTTTTAAAATTTGATTTTATTTAAGTTAGAATAATTTATTTTTTATTTGTAAAGACATCATTTTTATTTATTTTGTAAATATAAATTCACCCTATTGCAGTTTTAATTAAATATATATATTTTTTAATTTATTTTTTTAAATTATAACTACAAAAATTATATATATAATCTTATTAATATCTTACACAAAGAAATAAAATCTTAACACCTTTTTTTTCTTGTGTTTTAATAATAATAAATTTTGATATTATTTGTCAGATTTCATGAATCATTTTTTTCTAAATTTATTAAACAATGTTTGATTATTATCTTGTAATAAAAAAATTGTGATAATAAAAACAAAGATAATATCTCATTGTACTTACTATTTTACAAATATAAATATCTATTCTAAAATTACGCCAAAATAAAATTATTTTAAGTTTTTATCAATTTTTTTAATCAAATGTCTTTTTTATATCTTTTATGTTTTAAGATATTAGCAAAAACTAATTTTATAATTTACATGTAAATATTATATATGTTCGAATCTGTTCTTTAAAAAATAAGTTTTTCTTTATATATCAAATATCTATGAATTTGTTTATTAACATCTAAATCATATTATAAGATTAGGTAAACAACTAGTTTCTGTAGTATTATTATTGAACGAATTAGATCCATGAAATAATTAGTAAAATTCTATTTCCAGAAGAATTACCATATTTTTATTCCAGATTGACTGAGTTGGCAAAGAAAAACTTGATTGATTTCTTGAAATTGTGCCTTTTAGGGCACAAAATTTAGAAAAGAAAAAAAAGGAGAAAAGAAAGAAATCAAAATTCGAATATCATTTAAAAAAAATAATCAAATTCAATAATGTTCAATAAACCTCAATTTTTTCTCTCTTAACTAAACAGATTCCCTCTCTCTCTCACTCTCCACTCCACTCTCATTAAAACCAAACAGGCTTCACTTTCCCTAATATTTCCTTTTTCTCTCACTTCCTCTGCAACCAAACACCGCAAAGCCCAATTCCTCGAATCCAGAGGCCGCCGTCGCAGAATCTTCGTTTTCGACATATTCTCTCGTCGTTTTGTTAAAAGCTAATAATCCTTTCCTTTATTCGTCGATTCCGCCGGGTGTTTTTTTCGACGATTCGAGATTGAATCGATTGGTTTTGTTAGCTGATCGAGGTTTTGTTTTTGGTAATGCGAGGGTTTGGAGGAGCTGAGAGTGAGTGATTTAGAGTTTAAATGAGGCAATGTGTGTGTTCGTAGGTGGATTTTGTCGCGGTGGTGGTGATGGTGAGATGTGTAGGGTTTTGTTAGAGTTTTGATTACGTCAAAAACGGAGGGAATGGCTGCTTTGGAGCCGACGTTGAGAGTTGGCCCCTTGGAGAGAGACATTGAATTGGTAATTATATATGTATATTTTATATTTTGTTGTTGTTTATTGATATAATAAAGTGCTGATGATATTGGTTGAGGTTTAGTGAATGTATTTTGATTTATATCTTGGTAATGACTGAGAAGGTTTAGTGTTATGCTTGTATGTTTTTTTATTTTATTTTTATGGTTGTGTCTTTGTGATTAGGGTGCAACGTGGTTGTGTTAAAAGCTCAAGCTTGTAAATAGAGATTTCCTATTAATTGCTATGGATTTTAATAAGTCGAGCATTGATTTGAATGTTTGGTCTCGTAAATTGTTTGAAATTAGTGCAATGGAATTTGAGGTTTTTTTTCCTTTCAAAAAAGCGAAACCGGGTCAAATGTTGTGGAGCTGTTGCTTACTGTTCAAGCTAATAACAGCATGAAGATTCTTGTAATATCTGTTATTTCAATGGGATCGAGTGGTATAACCTTTCCTTTTGTTTGTTCATCAATGTTTGCATTACGAAATGTTAGTATAGGATGTGTGTGGGTCAGCATGTTGTCATATGCGGGTTTTTGGTTGGCAAGTCTTAATGGACTATTCTAGCTGGCTTTTTAGGGTAAGCTAATTGTTTTTGTGCATTTTCTTAAGAGTACATGAATGAGTCTTACATGAGCATTAACACATGAGTGCTAGTGATGTTAGGATGCATGCCAAAGCATCAAGACTCAGTGTTAAGACATGCATGCTTTTCTGGAATTTTTCAAAGAATTGCGATAGTATATAAATAGATAGTCAACCAAATGCTATTAGGGAGTGTTCATATCTCTCTGCATCAATGAGTTGTAAATATTCACTCAAATGGAAAACATTTCACGGGCTTAATACAAAATACCTCTAATTGTTGCCTCTTGGCTGGGTAGTGAACCATACCCATTTATTTCTATAATAAAAACCAAGTCTTATGTTGGTGTCTGGGATAAGTGAAAAAAGGATTTGAGTAAATCATGGATCATGAACTTAAAAATAACTGAAGAAAAAACAGACAAGAACCTGTGTATTGTGAGATATAATCATGCGGCTGCACCATTAGATGTTTCTCCATGATGAGAAATATTTCTACATCTCCTGAATTCTGACTTATGCAGAGCCTGCTTAGTTTATTTTCAGTTGATTTTCTTGCTGCATTCTTTGCCACAGGCCATCACTGCTCTTAAAAGAGGCACTCAGTTGCTCAAGTATGGCCGTAGAGGGAAGCCCAAATTTTGCCCCTTCAGGCTGTCAAATGTAAGATTATATTTAAGGCATGCTTTTAAATGTTACCTTTTCTCTTTCTTATTTTGAGCCATATCAGTATGGGATAAAGAAATTTGTGGTTAGCTATTTGTGTTTGTTTCTTTTCCCTCAATGGAAGCTAGCTATGGTACTGCCTTGTCTTCAAGTAGATCGATTTGTAGGTTTATTTGCGTCTGTTAATCTGTTTTTATGACGCATGCTCTGATAATAGCATATTTTTATGGATGTTTGGTAATTTTTGCTTCTCTTTACCAAGTTTAGATTACAATGCAGTGTTGAGAATTGGATGATTTAGAAAGTGCCTTTGTCTCTGAATGCGTTAGTCTCATGGAAGGTTAAATGAATAAAATCTTAGCAGAATATGCTTCCAGAAGTTCTAAAATGGTGATGGTATTGTGAATGAATAAAATTAGGTCTACTGTTTCATAAAATCTTAGCAGAATATGCTTCCAGAATTTCTAAAATGGTGATGGTATTGTGAATGAATAAAATAAAGGCAGTAGTGGTGTTGTCATCAAGGTAGAAAAGCAAGTGTCCTAACCCTTATATCCATGGAAATAAAGGCCTCCAGGGCTCTATGAAGAAAATGCCCCAGTGGCATCGACTTTTACTTTGGACTTGAAAACTAGAAAGATCTTTAGCTGGTTATCCTGCACAGCACAGCACCTCTCCTCTGTTTCTATGTAAACATGGGCTTGCTGGAGAAAATGAAGATCTATTAGATTGATTATTGAAGCTGAAAAATGTGAGTTAGTGATGAGGCTTATGATGGTGCTGATCTTGCTGGCAGGCCACTTGGTTTTCCTAACCTTGTTCTGTGCTGCTTCCTAATCAAAAGATAAGAGAGCACCTTTCCCTGCAGTTTAAGGTTTCACTATCAATGTCTGAAGGCATGCATGCAATTTAGTAACTTTTCTCCCTATTATTTTTATGCCAAACTCTATGATGTACTTTCATAGGCGCTGCATCTAATTGCTGCAAGGCAGTTGGTAATTTATATTCTATTTGATGTTGTTGGATATTGACTATTGAGCTTTGCTTATTAAATTTATGTATGCTGTAATACGTATGCCTTTGCTTTTGGTTCATTCAGGATGAATCTGTTCTAATTTGGATATCTGGGAAAGAGGAGAAGCATCTTAAACTAAGCCATGTCTCCAGAATTATCCCTGGTCAGCGCACTGTAAGTTTATCCATATCGAGATCCTGGTCAACTTTTGTATGGTGCTTAATGCAGTAGCCCATGCTTTTCATAGTTTTGCAGCAAATCATTTTTTTTTAATTTCAAGTTAATAATCATTTTAGTGTGAATAACTTGAGTTTCGAAAATGGTTGGGGTTCAGTAGCCTTCGCATATTGATGCTTTGCTTTGCACTTCACCAGATCAGGGATGTATGTTCATAAGAGTGCAAAGTTTCGATGAATGAATCTGTCTATTTTTATGTGACATAGTGGAAAGGAGATTGCAAGAATACTGGTTATGTTACTTTATCAAATACTATGACATTTGAAACTTTGATTTTAGAATTTACTTTGAAGCAATGCGTTTATGTGCATGTACTGTCTTCTAGCTTTCAAAAATCTGTAATATTCATTCCTAGGAAGAGTTGTGGGGGCATTTTTTGTTATATAGAAAAATGGTTTTTGATGGACACTTCATTTTTGTGATGTTTTCTACATTTACCTTGAATATTGGATCTAACAACAAAATCATGAGGGACAGTGAAGCTATGCTTGAAAATTATTTATTTTTTATGTGATTTTTTATTTTATGTGATTCATATATTTTGTCTGCTTCCAGTGTTTATGGCTTTTGTTTTATTCTTTCTTTCCCCTTGAGAAAATATGGAAATTACATCCTTTTGCTTGTAATTTTCTGATAGTTTTTCAATTACTTTTAAGATTTAATTTTCATTTTATTGGAACCATGATTTACTAGCTGATTATTCTCAATTCTGCTTACTACAGCCAATTTTTCAGAGATATCCTCGTCCTGAGAAGGAATACCAGTCATTTTCTCTAATATACAGTGACAGGTCTTTAGATTTGGTAGGCATATTCTTTTTAAAGTTCTTTGTCATCAAAGTCATGCCATGTTCAAAATTTTTGGGAGTCCTCTTTCTGTATTTGCCCAACACAGTTCCTTTACGGATTAGCTGAAAATTTTGATAATCTGCTTATCATGCTCTGTTTTGCCAGATATGCAAGGACAAAGAAGAAGCTGAAGTATGGTTTACTGGTCTAAAGGCACTAATATCAAATCGCCAGATTTGGAAAAAGAGAGAAGAAACTAGAAATGATGGACTTTTATCGGAGGCAAACAGTCCTAGGGCATACACCCTTAGAAGTTCTCCTTTGAGCTTTGCATTTGGTAGTGATGATAGTTCACTGAAGGTACTGTTCTATGTTCCTTCATTCTCAAAATTACGTTTTGCTGCTGTGTGCTTTAATGTAAATTCTCTTGGTAATGATATAGGATGGAATGGATCCTCTTCGTCTTCGTACGCCATATGACAGTCCTCCAAATACTGGTTTAGAGAAGGCATTGTCTGATGTAGTATACACTGCGCCTCCTAAGGTTTTATTTCCACTAGAATCTGCTTGTGCGCCAGCTCAGTCTCAGTTATCAGTGGGCTCAGATGAAACAACAGGGCGTGCAAAGGGTACAAACACAGATAATTTTAGGGTTAGTTTATCAAGTGCTGTTAGCTCATCAAGTCAAGGCTCTGGTCGTGATGAAAATGATGCATTAGGGGATGTTTATATTTGGGGGGAGGGTACTGGTGATGGCATTCTAGGTGGTGGAGTTCATAGAATTGGAGGTTCTGGTGTTCAGATGGATTCTTTTGTGCCAAAAGCTTTGGAATCTGCAGTTTTACTAGATGTTCAGGCTATAGCTTGTGGTCGGCAACATGCTGCTTTGGTAACAAAACAAGGGGAGGTTTTCTCTTGGGGAGAGGAACTAGGAGGCAGACTCGGACATGGTGTAGACTCTGATGTTTCACATCCAAAGTTTGTAGATGGACTAAAAAATTTCAATGTTGAACTTGTAGCATGTGGAGAATATCATTCTTGTGCAGTAACACTTTCTGGTGATTTGTACATTTGGGGTGGTAATGCTTATAATTTTGGACTTTTGGGATGTGGAAGTGAAGCTACTCAGTGGGTTCCAAGAAAGTTGGATGGACCACTTGAGGGAATACATGTCTCATCAGTTTCATGTGGACCCTGGCACACAGCTGTTGTAACCTCTGCTGGCCAATTGTTTACTTTTGGAGATGGAACCTTTGGGGTTTTAGGACATGGGGACCGCATAAGCGTGTCAATACCAAGAGAGGTTGAGTCCCTTAAGGGCCTCCGCACCATGCGAGCAGCTTGTGGTGTGTGGCACACAGCTGCAGTTGTTGAAATCATGGTTGGGTCATCAAATTCCAGTAATTGTTCTTCAGGAAAGCTCTTCACATGGGGAGATGGAGATAAAGGTCGTCTTGGGCATGGTGATAAGGAAGCTAAACTGGTGCCCACTTGTGTTGCTACTCTTGTTGAACCCAACTTCTGTCAAGTTGCCTGTGGTCACAGCCTCACTGCTGCACTTACAACTATAGGTCAGGTTTACACCATGGGAAGCCCTGTATATGGTCAATTGGGGAATCCCCAAGCTGATGGCATGCTCCCTACTCGTGTTGAGGGAAAGCTCATGAAAAATTTTGTTGAAGAATTAGCCTGTGGTGCTTATCATGTTGCAGTTTTGACCTCAAGAACTGAAGTTTACACATGGGGAAAGGGTGCAAATGGCAGGCTAGGTCATGGTGATGCAGATGATAGAAATTCCCCATCTGTAGTTGAAGCTTTGAAAGACAAACAGGTTAAAGGTATTGTCTGCGGCACTAGTTTTACTGCAGCTATCTGTCTTCATAAATGGGTATCCGGTATCGATCAATCAATGTGTTCGGGTTGCCACCTCCCATTTAATTTCAAACGGAAACGGCACAATTGTTATAATTGTGGGCTTGTTTTCTGCCATTCATGTAGTAATAAAAAGTCTCTCAAGGCTTCAATGGCTCCAAATCCTAACAAACCTTATCGTGTCTGTGATAATTGTCTTAGCAAACTTAGAAGAAGCTCTGAAACTGACTCTTCAGTTCACTCTGCTCTTAGTAGAAGAGGAAGTGTCAATCAGGGACTAAATGAAGTTGCAGAAAAGACTGAAAATTCGAATTCAAAATCGCATGCTAAGCTTGGAAGAAACTTCTCTATGGAATCATCTAAAGAGGTGGAAAGTATATCTTCCAGAAGAAACAGGAAGTCAAACACCAATAGCATGCAGGTTTCACCCTCTGGAAATGATGTTTCTCGGCGCAATACATTTAATAACTCTAAATCATTTGGATCCTCCAAGAAATTTTTCTCTGCTTCTCTTCCTGGATCAAGAATTGTGTCTCGAGCAACATCTCCAACATCAAGACGATCTAGTCCCCCTCGTGCTGCAACACCAACCCCAACTCTCTCAGCTAATGAGTTGCCAAAACTAGCTGTGGATGGTGCTGGGAGGTTAAATGACAGCCTGCGTGAAGAAATTGTAAAATTAAGAGCTCAGGTAGACATAAATTAACTCTTATGATTTCATTAATCTGTTCCTAAATTTCTTGTTTTGAGCAATAATAGATGTACCCAGGCCCTCATGCATTAACTTAGAAATTTATCGTCTGTGGCTGAACATGTATTGTCTAAAACATTTTCGGTAAGATAGCAAGTGTATATGTCATGCGGTATGATACTGCGTAAAATTATATCAAGTCTCCTTATTAACAGCTAGAGAAAAACTGTCTTGTCCTATGGCATAAATCCTTTTGTTGTTGCATTGAGAGTCTCTTTTTTATCCTTTGGTTATAGCTTGTTGTGAGTTTCTTTGCTTGCTTCTTTATGCTTTAATTTTCCCTGTGTGGACATGGACAAAGTGTTCTGCAATATTTTTTTTGTCACAATTAACATAAAGACAAAGGTCTGTGCTGGGGACAGGTCTAATTTTGAAATTGCTTATGATCATAGTAACTATGGTTAATGATTTGGTTAGATTAAGATCCAGTTTAGAGATGCATGACCATAATGAAACAACAGTATATGGCTTTAGTGACTTTCTACTGGCCATATCATTGTGCTTGAAAAGTTTGATTAAGGCTGACTGTTTGTGTAATGTAGGTTGAAGAGCTTACAAATAAAGCTCAGCTTCAGGATGTTGAGCTGGAAAGAACAACCAAGCAGTTGAAGGAGGCTATTGCAGTCGCGGAGGAGGAAACTGCTAAATGCAAGGCAGCAAAGGAAGTAATTAAGTCACTCACGGCCCAAGTAAGTTAAAAACTTGAGTTTATAACTTCCTGGTCCTACTGTAGATAACTAATTTTACATCACAAGTAACCTTAGGCAAGAAAGTTTAGAAATGTGCACTAAATGTATGGTATCTTGCATTGACTAGACTGGTCCTAGATTTGACAAGAGCAAAGTTTGTTTGAATCTCAAAAAGTAGGTCCAGAGGACAATATTTGCACAATGCTTTTGATATTATATGATTGTATTTGGGAATCTCTAGAACTAGACCGATAGATGTGCATCATGTCCACCTTAGGGATGTGCGGGCTATGAGTTGCCTGTTGAAAATAAATTAAATTGCCTGTGTCGTCCTAAATACTAAGGTTGACATAAACTTGTGTTGGAAGTGTCCTTGCCGTATGAATGGTGATCTGGTGATCGACCGGGAGCTCATGAGCATACTAGAATTTTGTAGGTTTTTTAATAGGTCAGCTGTCTACTTAATTTATATGTGATTAATCTTTTTATTATAGTTGAAAGAAGTGGCTGAAAGGGTGCCTTTTGGAGCATCAAGAAACAGCAACTCGCCCTCTTTTTATCACTCTAGCAGCCCTACTCCATGGGATGTTTCTCCTGGAATTCTTGAGCAACTCAGTAGTCCCACAGCATGTCATGAACAAGATTCAAAAGGATCAAACAGCCTGGTAATGTCGAATGTGTCAGGTACTACTACTACTAATCAGACTCCACATCACTCTGAAATGACACAGATAGAAACAACAGTGAGGAATAAGAACAGAATAGCAAAAGTTGAACCCACTAATGGCGATGAATGGGTTGAACAAGACGAACCAGGTGTATATATTACCCTTGTTTCCTTGCATGGAGGTGCGAAGGATCTCAAACGTGTCCGCTTCAGGTATTCTCAAGTCATTACACTCTATTATCCTGTTCTCTTCCACTCCCCCCCAACCTGGCCCCCTTCTATGATTGCTTTGCATCTCCACTCTTTAACAACAAGGTAACTACTTGGCCCATGATATTTTCCAATAATGTAATGTGGCCCTGCGTCCTTAACTAAGGTGGTAGAGTTCCTGGCTGCTTTCAGGCCCACTTTTTGCAAATAGATGAGTTTGGACCAACAGGTTTCTGTACTGTTGGAAGCATCCGAGTGGGGAACTAAATCATTGTAACTTTATAATTGCTCTGTCTTTATTCGAAATCTAATGCTATTGTATTTTGAACTCCTTTTGCTGCAGTCGGAAGCGGTTCAGCGAAAAACAAGCAGAACAATGGTGGGCAGCCAACAGAGCGAGAGTATACCAGCAATACAACGTTCCCATGGGTGACAGGTCCATTGTTAGCGTGGGAAGGGAAGGGTTAACTCAATGACCTGCGACGTCTAACACGCAACTTGACTCACATTTTGCCAGTGCAATTCTTTGCGAGATCTGAAATTCGTTTTCAATTTCTGCTCGAGATTGGAATATGGAGGAAGCCGAGTTTTTTTTTTTTTTTCTAGAGGGTGGAGGTGGGTGGAAATGTTTTCTCCCCACAATCTCTTGCATTCGATTTCTTCCCACAAATGTATCCATACTTTCTCTCTTCCTATAAATTTTTTTCTGAGGGAAGTGTGAAAACTCGCTAGGGGTATGTAAATTCTTTTTAAGTAGGTCGCTGACTTCAAAATCAAACACAGCTGCCTTGTAAATTCAGAAGCAAAATACTATACAGATTGTCTGCCATTCCTTGACTGAATGCGTCTTCCTCAGTTTTTTAAATCTTAAAATGTAAAGGATATATAGGGTTTTGGGAAAAAAAATATTAAAAAAAATTATGAAGTTATAATTATAAGATTTTTACTGGATCAAAGTTTTTAAAATATTTTTAGTTGATATTTTATTCAAATTGAATAATAATTAAATTTGCTGAGGTTAATATTATATATTTTTAATGAGAAAAAAGTAATTGTTTCCCTAAATTGATATTTAAAATTAACAACCAAAAAAAAGTTTTTTATTTTTTTACATGCTTCGTGTCATATGATGCCTGCATGTCCCGTGTCATATGATGCCTGCATGTCCCATAGTTTCTGGGCATGTGCCAAATTAAACACTTGCCAACACGTTCCGTTCCACGAGTGGTCTAACCCCCCCGGCACACATCATCCTTGGTGTTGTTTTTTCAATTAAAGATATTTAATATTCCTATCTCTTTTTTCTAAGATGGTGCGGGGGAGAATTCTCCCGTCAATCGCACTAATTTTTTGATGTTTTTTTTTTCCGCCAATGTCAGAGACAAATAAAGATGCATCTTCCAATCCATCTTTATATTTTGAAAGGTCCATGTCATAGCAAACAGTTTCATCCATCTATCTTGTGGAAAAATAAATCAATTCAGAAGCTTTGAATAACATGATTTTGTCGTTCATTCCTGTACATAACTGGGTATGATTGTTACAAACAACTAAAGTAGTTTCTTCAAGTTCTCTCCCACCTACCAAATACATGTACATCCCCAAGGGTACAGAATGGACAAACAGGAGCCAAAAAAAAAGGCTCTTTGAAAATGAGGGTCAAGGTTTTGTTGTTGGGGTATCCTAAGAGATTAGTCAAGGAATAGATAGAGAAAAAATTTCAATTAGCACTTGTTCCCAGCTGTGAATGGCAAACTCTGCCATTTATACTTTCAGAAACAATGAATCAAAAATAATCTGCCCAGGTTTTTCAAACAGAAGGAGTGGAATTATTTGAATTCAACTGCCACATATATCACTTGATTGAAATCATCATCAGCACAACGTATGGTGGCTCGAGATCATCACAAGAACTGCACAGAGAAAGATAACAGCAGTTTTTGTTACACCAGCAGGATAAGCACATAAGATTTGCAGTTATAAGAACATATAAGATAATTAGGTCTCCAGATAAGGAAAAAAATTATCCGTTACCTTCTACACTCTTGAACCTGTATGCACAAAGCTAAGGTGGGCCAAGTAGTTGCTCTCAGCAAAATCATGTAGAGATCGATGGAGCCGTGCCCCTTCATGGTCAGTTTTACTTGACTCTTCTTTCAAAACTCTTCTACAACCATCAACATCCTAAAGGAAAAGCAAGTCAAAAATTAAACTGGGCCTTGAGTCCTCAATTAGATGAAAAGGGCATGTGATGAAAAATCCAAAGCAGGGGGAGGGTTAAGTCACGGATTTAGCATAAGAAAGATAAAATCTTTTACTAATCCTTTAAAGCTGCAGAAAAATACAGACATTAAAGTAATGGTTGCTAACAGGTTAAATAACAAAATAGTGACATAAAAGAAAGGGCAATCAGACCAAAATCAACAGTTTGGCTTATATATTCTCATTAAATAAATAATAAAGGAGCTTCTACATCATCTACCTGTAGGAATTCTAGCATTTGCTGCTCAATTGTACCACGCATTGCTAAAGTCTCCACATTGATGGGGCGAGTGGCGCCCATCCGATGAGCTCGACTTATCACTTGTTCTTCCATGCTGATAGCATTTCAACAAAGAAGAATTTTTAATTAACAAAAAAAAAAGAGTAAACGAGGGAGAGACAGAGAGAGGTGTGTCAAGCATTCTATTCAACAAAAACCATTATTTTTCCATATAGCAGCGTGATATTGTGGCTAACAATACTGAAATCAGGATGCAAGATACCTATTAGTAAGAACAGAAAAGAGAAATAATGAACAGTTTAGGATTTGAAAAAAAATGCTACCTTCTGTCCCAGATTGGCTCCATTAAGAATACATGAGTTACAAAGCTCAAATCAAGACCCAATGCAGCACTGCCATCCATTAACAGAGCCATACAAGTGGCGTCATGCTGGAAGGTGGCCAGTGATTTCATCTGAATAGCCAAGGAATGTATCAAGAAAAAGGAACAGGAACAAAACAATAAAAAGTAGACAAACTAATTTCAATACCTTGTTGATTTGAGGCATTGGACTATACATTCCAGCAAATTTAATACCAGCAAATGCTAACTGGCCGAAGAAAAGAAGGCCCAGGATCATTACACTTTTGAGGAAAAGAAAAGGCCACACTTGGTAAGAACTCATAATGCAATCATAAGTACCTGCTGTTCTATCACATGTATATGCTCAAGAAATTGAGAAAATATTATAACTTTCTCCAAGGCTGCCTTGTTAACACTAAAGCAGTCCGGCTGAAGCACTACACTAGAAACACTTATTTGAGTATCCTTGTCAATGGACCAGCTACTCTCTCTACTGGCCTCCTGCAATGCTTTCAGCTTCTGTACAAGGTAAGCAACTTTACTGCTAGATGTTGACTGCCAATCAGGATCCCAGTCATCCTGTACAAATACCAGAAAAATAAATGTGACAATGCTTCCTGCGAATCCTTTATACATAAAAAAAATTATTTCAAAATGAGGGAAAAATACTTGCCTGTTTATAGGAAGGTTGCAACTCGATAAGATCTTTGGGGACAGGCCACTTAGGGTTTGGATTTTCTGGTCGGGTCAATATTTCTGGACTTTGCATCTCATATGAGTAACCACAGCCAGGAAAAGTACACTTTTCACTATCCAAAGCAACACAATCAGGGCACAAAAGATGCCTACATGGCGTGATGAAAGGTAGACGACACCATTCCTTGCATCTAAACAGCAAAGAGGAAAGAAGAAAAAAAAACAAATGTGCAAAATCAATGGTGGTAAACCCATGTCAGAAGATATCATGTTAATATTCAGAGTGAAGCAAAAAAGAGCTCTAAAAGTTACCTGAGACAGTTACCACCATACTGAAGATAGTATTTTATCAAAGCATGCTCCTCTGAAATGGGATCAAGTCCTTTTTCAATCAGAATATCCATTGTTTCCTGAATATCTTCACCAACTTCTGCCACTTTAATATGCCCTGCCACACAACAAGATAGCCTGACATTTCTAATAAGGGTACTTCGAAACTTCCACTGCTTTGGGTTAAGCAAACTCTCAACATGAGAAGGATCATTCCAGTCAGCAGTTAGAATATTACGTCGCACAGTAACTACCAATTCATTATAGCTTCTTGCATGATCCTTGGTAAAATTGAGGAATGTCACCTTCTTGATGCATGGAGGGATAGTTTTCAAATCTGTCTTCCTAGAACTAATCAAGCATCTGTGGAGCAAATGCAACAAGCGTGAGCGACCTTCTTCCATCTCGGCTTCAAATGGTCTAAGAACGCCGGCTTCCCATGACTTTTGATTCAGCCCATACACTTCCTCCTGTAGAAACTTAAGCATTGGCTGGAGATGAGACAACTGACTATTGGGTGTGTTAGGTGTTGGAGTTCCCGTTAGTAACCAGCGATTTGAAGCCATCAATGACATAGCCATTTGCAATTTGTTTGTCAAGCTCAGACTAGAGCCAAGGGTATGTCCCTCATCTAACATGACCCGGAGAAAATGCACTTGCATCAGAGGACTTTTTTTCCTGGGACCCCACTCAGCACTTAATCGACTGAAGGTTGTTATAACAACATCATAATCCCATGCCAGACTGTGAGCAGAAGGCTTTTTATGATTAGTCCAGACACAGAGCCGCAACTGGCCAGGTTTGACATGCTTTTCTATCTGGGTTTTCCAATGATCAACTAGATTTGCTGGGACAACAACTAGGGTTGCTCTTGATAAATATAACCTGACAGAATCCAACGGCTTGCAGATAGCAATTCTAAAAGCAGCCAAATCAAATGCTAAGTTTTCAAGTTTCTGCGGGTAACACCACTTACTCGCTCCCTTTTCTACCCTCCGTACAAGACCAAATGCTTCAAATATTTTATGAAACCCACGGGAATCTCCACCACCAGATACAGAACCAGTACCTACAACCGGACTTGCCAAACCAATTGTTTCCATTAAAGAAAGTCTTTCTGGAGAAAGTTTAGCCAGCCAAGTCAAAGCTTTCTTGGTTTTAGAGTTTATCATGGAATAGTGCTCCTTGAGAACACTAATGAAAAATGACACATTTTGCTCCTCCCCCCCTGAAGTTCCTTTGGTGTGAAATCCAGGTACATGAGTTAAGGAACAGCTGTCATCCCAAGCTTCTTCAGCATCTCTACAACTCTGACGTTCAGGGTTTGTATTCATGCTACAAAACCATGCAGCATCAGTATCTGCTACACTGCTTGTAAGCTTCCTCCACTTTCTGCATGCATCGCATTGAACCCAAGTCTCATTAAAATCCCTAGAATGTCCAGTAATCAAATTCAACCTGTGTACTCTATCATGCCGTTGTTCCTCTGAGACATATATAGGGGCATTAGAACGATGCTTCCTCCTTTTCTTGTTACTAAAAACAGGTGTTTCATCATATTCATGAAGAAGATTTCTCTTCACGCGACTCAATTGAATTACACGTGCTGTTTGATCTGAAGATGGAGCTGGTGATGATTCCATTCCTTTAACTGGACAAGAATTGCTAAACCCCTCAATCTGCTGACCTGGATCATTCATCAGAGTGGATTTATCCAAAGATAATTGTCCCCTGCGTGCACTCTGGTTCATTACCCTTTTTGCCAGGGGTGTGTTATTAGAAGTGAAGTTTCTGCCATCAACCTCATAATAGCCACATCTCTGTTCTCCATTATGTGCACACCAGGTTATTTGAACTCCATCTGGTGGGTCAGCTACTGTTCCTCTTGTCTTCAGAATAAGAGAAAGGGCAGTGATAGTCTTTCCTAAGCCAGGTTCATCACAGAACATTCCCCCACGAAAGTCTCTTAC